TGCCTCCCGAGTGCTGGGATTAAAGGCATGTGCCACCACGCCTGGCTCATCTGGCTTTTTTATGAAAAATTTTATAGCCAGATGTGGTGGCATACCTTAATCCCAGCACTCAGGAGGCAGAGGCAGGCAGATCTCTGTGAGTTCAAGGCTAGCCTGGTCTACACAGTGAGTTCCAGTTCAGCTAGGGCTATGACCCTGTCTCAAAACAAGCAAAAAAATTTTAATTTATTATTATCTTCTATGTGTATGAATGTTTTGCCTGCATATATGTAAGTGCGCCCATGTTGTACAATGCCCATGGAGGTCAGAAGAGGGTGTTGGATCCCCTGGAACTGGTTTAGAATGCATCTCTAGTCTGTATGTATCTGTTTATTACTATTCATAATCGGTTACCTGCCATGTTGGTGCTAGGAACTGAAATCCCAGTCCTCTGCAAAAGGAGCCAGTGCTCTTAACTGCTAGTCATCTCTCCGGTTCCCCTGCCTGGCTTTTTGATTCAGACTTTTTTTTCTTTTTTTTTTCAATTTTTCTTTTTATTTTATGTACTGGAGTATTTTGCTCCATGTATGTAAGTGCACCATGTGTATACAATGCCCATGGAGGCCAAAAGAGGGTATCAGATCACCTGAAACTGAAGTTTGGATAGTTGTAAGCCACCATGTGGTGTTGGGAACTGAAAACCCAAGTCCTCTGCAAGATCAACCACTGTTCTCCTTAACTGCTGAGTCATCTCTCCAGCCCCCAATTCAGACTTCCTTAACCAAGGTCTTCAGCCCCTAGGAGAGCCACTGCTGGTTCTGAAGGCACTGTAAACCCTCTGCTGTTACATAAGCACTTACATATATAATAATGTATATTTTTCTTTATGTTTTTTTAAACAAGGTCTCATTATGCTATCCAGGTTTGCCTTGAACTCATGGATTCAAGCCAGCCTCATACCTCAGTCATCTGAATAGCTGGAACTACAAGGTATGCACCACTAGCCCTGGCTGAGTTCATAGGATTTCCAGAACAAGAAGGATTCTGGGGGATGGAGAGATGTCCCAGCAGAAGACCTGGGTTCAAATCCCAGAACCCACATGGCAGCTGTAACAATTATCCTAACTCCAATTCCAGGGGATCTGACTCCCACCTTTGTCTTCTGCAGGCACTGCACTCACATTCAGGCATACCATAAATGCTTTTTTAAAAAAGGGAGTTGGAGAGATGACTCAACAGTTAAAAGCACTGGCTACTCTTGCAGAAGACCTGAGTTCAAATGCCAGCACCCATATGGCGTCTAAGAACCGTCTCCAGTTCTGGGGAGTACGGCATCCTCTTCTGTCCTCCACAGACAATGCATGACACAGGTGCACTTACACACATGCAAGCATAACACTCATACACATAAAATTAAAATAAATTAGTGTAGTGTGATGGTGCAAGTCTTTAATCCCAGCACTCAGCAGGCAGAGGCAGGTGGATCCCTGTGAGATCAAGGCCAGCCTGGTCTACATACATAGTGAGTTCCAGGCCAGCTGGGGCTACAGGGAGACCTTCCCTCAAACAGACACACAAATTTTTTTTTAATTCAAAAAAAAAAAAAAAAAAAAAAAAGGGTTGTTTTCTCAGCCTTTAAATTCCATGTCTAACATGTGACTAATGCAGTCATCTTTTTTTTTAAGTATCTGACCTCAATTCTACTGCAATGGTATAGTCCCACTTCTCACTCTGTGTACAGTAGAGGGACAAAGTTTCCTTCCACTAAAGTAGGGCTGAGAGGCCATCCCTCACTCATGCATCTTTGAAGAATCCCAACTCCCCAACCCTGGCAGGCCCTACTTCATTTTCCCTCTCTGCCCCACATGTAGGTTCTCAGCTCCTCAGGGGTCCTGCACGCTAAGGAAGGGAGGAACTGACCCAAAGGTCAATTCTCTAAGGTTTGGTTGCCATGATGAAGAAAACACACCCTTCTGCCCTTGGGGATTTTACTGAACTGTGGGCACACAGAGGGAAGGCTTTTGCTAAATGCTCAGAAATAGAGCTCTTCAGCCTTGCTATTTTTAACCCTCAATGCTTTATATTCTTAGCTGCTGCGTGGGAGGGATAGGAAGGAGAGAAATGGATGGAGGAAAAGAGGCTGGTGAAGACTGACAGTGTCTAGGTCCTGAGAGTAGGCATTTCATGATATAGGGATGACTTCAGTATCCCCTGTCCTTTACCTCTAAACCTGAGACATGCTATTTCCTTGCCCTGATTTAGGTGGCTTTACTAGTGCGGACAAATTCTGAAAAGTGAGCCTGAGAATGATGTCCTGGCTTCCGACACAGCCCTCTGGCCTGATCTCTCTTCTCTAGCCTCTCTGTCCTTCACTGGGTTCAGTTCCTACTAACAGTCTCTAAAATACTCTTCTATAGCCCTAGTTATTGGGATTTTGGTTGGAGCAATCAACAGCCCACCAAATCTTCTAGTCTGAGTTTCTATGACCTTTTCATTAAATTTAATGGTTCTCTGGGCATTCAGGGACCACAGAAATGGATGCATACTGATTAAAAAAAAAAAAAAAAGTCTCTGATCCACGATATCAAATGAAGAATTCAGATTTCTGCAGCAGTAGCTAATACCGACTAGGTGGGAAAAGTTTTGCCCTTGGTGAAGGGCTGCAGGGGTCCTAAGGGTGGATGCATCAACTTCCACTCAGGTTATCTAACTCTAGACTAACCAGGTCTGCCAAGTAGGCCACTGACCTTTGAAACGACCCGCTGCAGTCTTCCAGAGCAGGCACCCATCATGGATAAGTTTGCGCCGCAAAAGTTCCTCTCGGCCAAAGGGGCCCTTGCCGGGCACTGGTGCCTGGGCCCGAGGGTCCATTCGGTTGTAGATCTCCTGCAGTCGGGCTCCTTTCTCCAGCTCATGCACATCCTGGTCCACATTGGACAGCAACTCCTTGACTAGGCCCAGCGCTGTTGTCAGGTCCTGGGATTCCTCCTCAATTCCTAGCATCAGATAACCAGGCATGGTCAATCCAACCCAATTTCCACTATGCCTTGATTCTATCTTTTAGACTTTGCCCAGAGCTCCCCACCTGGTCTTGACACTTACCACCCTTGGATGTCCCCAGGGATCCCGTCTCTCCCTGGCCCCACCTCCCCACCTTCTCCCCACCCCCTCCTCCTCCTCACCATGGGAATGCTGCAGGATCCGGTTGATGAGCACTGGGTATTTGGTGATCCGCTGAGTCACCAACAATATGCACTCCTGAACCCCATGCCGCTTCAGCACAGCTGAGCGTGTCACTTTCTGCAAGGGAGGAGACAAAGCTAAGGGCAACAGAAAGACTGGGATCCCAGGCTCTTAAGCTCATCCAACCCTGGCCATTCACCTCACACTGGTCTAGGTGACAGCTTCTAGAAAAGGACAAGAATGTCACAGGTTTGTGGTGATGAGCAATTCAACAAGGTCATGAAAAGCATATAGAAAAGTAGTCCAATATACTCTTCCTCCATGAGGGGTTGTGCTTTGACAAACTCTTATGAGTAAGACAGGTTCAGAAAGGGTGGGCAAGTGCTTGCCCTCTATGCAGCAGGCGCAGCTCACACATGCTATCCTAGGGATAGAAGAGACTGGGTTTGAGCCATGAGAGAGACTCTGAGCCTGGACCTAGAGAGACTTACCCGAATGAACTGTTGGAAGCGTTTGTCTCGGGCATACAGTTCCTTATAGAGCTTTACGGCTTTGGTATGGCGGCTGCAGAACTCTGAGTAGGTCTTACGCATCTGCTCTGCACTGGGACCTGAGAACTAGAAGTCAGAAAAAGACTAGGTCAGCACTTCCAGCAGAGCCATATCCCCTGAACATACCTCTGGCCTCCTACTCTGCAGGTTGGCTCCCTCTTCTCCAGTTTGCCCCGTTTCCCTTTCAGTCACCAGTTGGCTGGAGGCAAGAATTGGTCACTCCTGGGCCAACAAGATGGCACTTGCTGTTATGCCTGACAACCTGAGTTCAAACCCCAAGTCAAAGGAGTGAACCAACTCCCAAAGTTTCCTCTGACTTCCACACTCATACACATGTGTAAGCACACACGCCCCTGCGTGCACACACACACACACACACAAATAATAATAATAATAATAATAATAATAATAATAAAGAAATGCCTACTCCTGTCATAGCTCCTTCTACAAACATATCTAGAAGTCCTGACTTTTCCCACCTGATTGATGAGCAGGTCACCCAAACGATGGATGACAAAGTTCCGGGTGCTGCCTGGGCACAGGGCCTGGCGTCGGCGTTCTAACAGCTGACTGAGGAAGCGTGTATGAATGTCACTAAGCTCATCCACACAAGGGAACAGGCCCTGGACCACTCCTGGTTCCAGCTGCAACTCTTCCAGCATCCCAGTGCGGAAGAGACGGGTCATGATCTTCAGTGTCCTCACATGGTGCAGCTCTGTCTGAATCAGCTCTGTGGGACAATGGAATATCTGGCCTTCTACTCTGGCTTGGCCACAATTCATGGAGCCCTCAGCTGGTTAATTCCAAGTTAATATTTACATTAATGTCATTGTCACTTTCTATTTTTTTGCTTTTTGGTCTTTTTGAGACAGGGTCTCCCTGCAGCCCCAGCTGGCCTGGAACTCACTACATAGACCAGGCTGGCCTCGAACTCACAGAGATCCTCCTCCCTCTGCCTCCCAAGTGGTGGGATTAAAGGTGTGCGCCAGAACCATGCATGTTCGGGTCTACGTTTCCCAGTCCCCAGCAGGGTGTTAGGCACAAGAGAGGCAGAGTGAAGCCTGAGGACTGAGTAGAAAAGATGCAGATAGGACTTAGGAGCTGGGTGTGGAGATGCACACCTATAATCCCAGCACTCAGGAGTTGGAAGCAGGAGAACTGAGAATTTGAGGCTAACCTGGCCTATGTAATGAGAGCTTGTTTCAAAAAATAAAATAAAAAAAGACCAAAAACAGCAAGAAGTAGGAGCCCAGGGGCAACCTGGTACCAGGCAGGGATGTAGAAGTCAAAGGACAGGAAGAAAAGGGCCGTAATAGCCGGGCGTGGTGGCACGTGCCTGTAGTCCCAGCACTTGGGAGGCAGAAGCAGGCAGATCTCTGTGAGTTCAAGGCCAGCCTGGTCTACGTAGTGAGCTCCAGGACAGCTGGGGCTACAAGGAAACCCTGTCTCAAAAAGACAAAAGAAAAGGGGCCGTAATAGATGAGGGTTGGCAGGGAGGACACAGGTAAGCATGGCCTGGTAAAGGAAGAAGACCAGGGTGCCTTGCTTACCGTAGATGACATCCTGCTGCTTCATCACTTCCTTCTTATGCTGCTGCAGGAAGCTGCCATCCACAGCAAGGCTCCAGGAGTCAGCTGCAAAGTCTTTCTCATCCATCTCAAAATCACTCATCAGCTCATTGTAGACTACCTCTGCACCTGACCACAGTGCAGGGAGCATCTCAGAGCCAGGTTTTCCTCCCCAGGGCCTGGACCCTTCCCTGGATCCTCTTCATCCCTCCCCTTCCCAGTCCTCTCATACCAGCCAAATCAGCACTCCTCTCCACAGGGTAGGTCTGCTTACCTTCATCAATAAGGGATTCCACAGACAGGGTTCGGTTCCGCATATTGAGAGAGTCTGTGGATTGGGACAGGATCCGGCGCAGGCCCAGGGGAGACTCCTCATTGAAATGTCTGAAGAAAGGGGAGGCATCTGTATTACCTCTACATGGGCAGGAGGTCCCTTCCCAAGCAAGGAACCAAGATTGGGGGCCTAGGGCTAGTTACCCTGTGTTTTCACAGCTTACCCAGCAATGTTGGTGGTAGAAACACTCTTTGACAAGGACAAGGAAGAACGGCCACGGCGGGAACCAAGGAGGGACTGCCGGAAGCTATCGGAAGGGTAAATAGCAGAGGTTGGCCGCTCTCGGGTGGTTGCTGTAGGGAAAGAGGTCAGACAGCAAAAAATTAAATTCCTCAGGTCTGTGGCTTCCCAGCTCCTCAAATGGAACCAAGGCAAAGTGTCTAGCCCAGCATTAGCTTCTCTGAAGTCAAAGAAAGATGACAAAATGAATCAGGATGATGCCATCTTCCATCAGTGCAATCCTGCATTATCTTTATTTGCTCTCCTCCCTCAAACAAGCCTATGAGCAAACTGAAGGTCAGAGAGGGAAGACCTCTCTGGGGTGAACCCAGCTTAGTCGCCTGAGCACCATACTTCTTCTGAACTGACACTTGATGGCTGCCACAAACAATCCCCAAGTGAAGTGTAGACAATTGATAATAATAACAGAGGATGTGGCCAGGCTTGGATTACCAGTCACCCTAGTCCCCCTTCCCCATTTGGACTCTCCAGTCCTGGCTCCAAGTTCCAGAGGATGGACAACCCTTTAACCAACCCCCACCCAAGTCTCTTCCACTTGAGAGGCGGGTTCGGTGTCTGAGCATGTCCTCAGGGGGGCAGTAGAACCCATGGGCTAGCAGCCTGGGGGACCAGTGGCTAATGGGGACTTCCCCACTACTCACTCTTACTTCGAAGAGAAACAGACTGCAAGGCAGTGTTGTTCTTCAGCAGAGCAGCTTTCTGTTGCTGTGAGACAGAGGGCAAAAGAAAGACACCAAGAACAGCTGTCACTAAGGACCACCCTCCCCCCAGGAGAAGACAGGAGCTGGGCGGCTGCCCCCTTGGGAGAAAACTAAACTATAGTTAAGGGCATAAGGATGGGTAAACCCAGTGTTGCAGGGCTATGTCTAAAATAGGCCTGAGGTCTGAGGTGAAGGGTCTGGGCTGCCCCAGGGCAAGGAGGGGTTGTGGAACACAAGGTAGGGAATGGATAGAGAAGCACAGGGGTACCGCACTCACTGCCCTCTCCCCCAGCCCTCTGCCCTCCCTGCCATCTCACCTTCTGCTTGACCTTGGTACAGTTGGCCAGGGTGTCTTTACAGCGGTTGTGGATAGTCACATTGCAGGCTGGGAGGGTGGGGTAGAGAGGATGAAGGGGGGACTGGGTGGCACAGGAGGGGACATACCCATATATAGACACCCAACCTCCCCTGGTCAGACATTCCTCAGACATTTTTCCAGCTTCCCATATCTTAGTCCCTCTCCTCCTGCCTCCCTCTTGCTTCAAGCAGAAAATGAAGTGAGAGAGAGTCCAGTATGGACAATCTAGAGGGTTGGGCAATCCTGAACCAAAGCTGGCCTAAGGGGGACCAGAGGGAGGGTTATCTACTGCCAAAGAATCTGAGAAGCACAAAGAAGGTGACACTGGCAGATGGGCCATGGGCTCCTACAGACCAGAAGGTGGCAGGCAGGGAGGCAGCTGAGAGAGCCACAGCACTCCCTGGGCTCTGAGGAAAGCTCCCTGTCTACTCCACTCCAAAACCCTCTGCTCACAGATGAGGAACCTGGCCTGGACAATTACTCACCAGCCCAGGTCACCTAGGTAGAGAACTAGGATTTAAACTTAGATGTGCCAAATCCAAAAACAATACTCCCCCATACATGTGCAGTGGCCTCTGTCCAGGCTCATGCCCTTATCCTTCCCTGCCCAGCCTGGCAGCCTTCTACATCAACTCTAGTCAGGCTGCCTTCTCTCTTCTAGGCCCAGGAAGTCCTGTTCCCCATGTAAGGCAAATCTACTGCTCCTACACTCCATCTGCTTCTCCCCTATCCCCCGCCCACCTTACCATGAAATAGGAGAGGAGAAAGGAATAGCCAGCCTAGGCACAGGACCATGGCTGCCCCCTTCCTGACATGCCCTCAGCCCTCTACAGCTTTTCCTCCCCTGCCAAGCACCACAGGAAACTGCTAAGTCTTGCAGACAATACCTAGCACCATGCTCACTTCCACAAATACAAGGCACACAGGGTGGGGCAGAGGGGGCCCAAAAGAAGCAGGGCTATGGTGGAGCTCACCCCCCTGGAGCTCCCCTCTCCTACCCCCAACACCTTGTCTCTGGATCAAACCTCCGCTTTCTACCTGCTCTCAAAATAGTGCTACCCGCCTCCCCAGTTCCCCAGGCAACAAGCTTCCGGATTGAGTATTCTGTCAGGTCTCTAGAGGGATCTAGATTGGGGTTACCTCCTTATCCTTCTGGCTCTAAATCAAGCAGTGAGGAAGTAGGGAGACAGGTCTCACTGACTCGTTCTGGGGTTCCTTTCCCAAGCTGGAGTCAGTGTTATTTATGCTGGTTAGCAGAAGACCACAATACTCTTACCCTACTGTGGGGGGGCGGGGGTTGTCAAGGAGGAGCTGGAACCCTCTGCACTGGCATCCTAACTAAGGAGGCAGGAATCCCTTGCTTATGTTTCTTCAGTACAGGGCGTCCCTTAGAAGGATCAAGGTTGGACAGAGGCGAGAACGGGCATTCTCAACCCTCCTTCCCATCACATATCTCTGCTGTGTTCTTTTCTGAGAGGCTTGTAAGAGAAGGACCTACAGATTTTGTCCTTGAAACAGCACAGATTTCAGGATTTTACTACCCACAGGCAACAGAAGGGAATGGGCAAGGGGACTCTGAAGTCCAAAATGTTCAGTGCTACCCAGGAAGATGGGCAGAGGCAGCTGCTGAGTTGGCAGCTTTCCCCATCCCACAGCTCTCCCACTATGTTCACACACACATTTCCTGCTCCTTCTCCAGGCAGTTTCCCTAACTCTCAGCAGCTGTTCAAGGAGCGAGGGAGATACTCAGCACACAACAGCTGCAAGGAGAGCAATCCTAGCCTCCCCTCAATCCACACCCAAGAGACCTGCTGATGCTACATTCCAATAGCCACCACTAGTGTGAGGAAGAGGAACCAAGCACCTGGCCATGGGACTAGAGACCATCTGGGGCCAGAAAAGAGAGTCCCTCTTATGGATACAGGGTAGAAAGGAAAGATGGAAGGACTAGGGTTGATGGGAACCAAGCCTGAGTGACCTTCAGGTACCAAACAACTTACTTGGGCAGATGAGGGCTTCCTTGGCTGTGATGCTCTTGTTACAGGCATAACACATGGTCATGCCTGAAACGGAGATGGTGGTAAAGAGGTGGCCATTGGTATAGCGAGCATCCTTGGCTTCCTTCATCTTCTCCTTTTCCCGGGTCTGTGGAAGGGGTGAGATACAAAAGTGACGCTAGACGATGCCTAGGTACCTGGAGTCCAGACAGACAGGCTGAAAACATAAGCATGGGAGAAATGCCTGCCTGTGGAGGCTTTAAAAAGACACCTATTCCTAAAGTAGAGCTTGCCATGGGTGTCAGAAGTGGCTGTCCATGCAAGATCAAGCCCTAGGATGACAGTCTCCACGGCTTCTCAGGCCCCTGACCTACCTGGCCCCGGCGACTGGGCTGCCTCCTGTTGCCACTCATCTCCCTGGCTCTAGATCTCCGAGTCCTCACTCCACCTCCCAGCCCTTAGCTCTGCTTGCCCCCAGGCTGCTGTATACTCTTCTCTATGCTGGAGGGAAGATGCGCAGAGAGGAGGGGAGGGCCAGCGAAGCAGAGGGTGCCAGCTCACCAGCGCTTTCCAATCTATGGGAGTTAGTTCCTCTCATAACCATGACAACGGGTGTTGGAGCTGCTGTCTCCAAAGCAGTCATGGGGGAACAGAGATGGGAAGGCAGGAGATCCCCTTATTAGATTGGCTAGGGGGCAGAATGCCTTTTCAGCCGCCCCCAACCCAGGTCAGGACCCCAAACCTCTAACTCTTCCACTTCCACTTGGTCAAGGCCCCAGGGATCCCTCTCTGAGGCAAAATGTCCTCCAGACCCTCAGATAGGGAAAAGCAATGACTTTTGTTTGTGTTTGTGTTTGTTTGGTGTGTTGTGTGTGTTAGGGTCTCGTGTAGGCGAGGATAACCTTGAACTTATGATCTTCTTGCTTCTCTCAAGTGCTGGGATTATAGGCCTACAGCACCAAGTCTGGTTTGGAGCCGGGTTTTGATATCAGGTCAAATGTTTCCACTCTAGGACCTTTAAAGGACATCAGCCAGTCAGCTTGGTTGACCTAGCAGAAAATCTCCCCCGAAGTCTAACATTTATTCCTCTCAAACTCCCCTTCCCAGACTCCCTTGATTGCTCCTCACCCAACTAGTCCTCCCATCTAGTTAGTCCCTTCTGACATCTACCTTCCAGCTGTGGTCTGCAGAAATGAGGCACACTGTTGTGTCCCTTCTCACCCTCTGTAGGCTTCTGCCTTCTGAGTCCTTGACTTCTGTTCTGCCCAAGCTCCTGCGTGTCCCAAGAAGTCAGAGGAGGTGAAAAGAAAAATGCAGGATGTGGCACCTCATGCTTTTTTTTTTAATTTCTTAAATTTGACTGATTTTCTTTATGCATATAGTGTTTTGCCTGCATGTATGTAAATACATGTGTGTATAATACCCGAAGACACAAGAAGAGGCATCAGGTCCCCTGGAACCTGAGTTACAGATGGTTGTTAGCCACCATATGGGTGTGGGGAACCAAACCCAAGTCCTTTCCAAGAGTAGGCAGTCAGTGCTCTTAACCACCAAACCATCTCTCAAGTTCCATTTATGACTGTTAATCCCAATACCATATTGTGAGAGGAACATTGTTGCAAGTTGGATACCAGCCTAGGCTGCAGAGATCCTATCTCAAAAAAAAAAAGGGAGGGGAGCCAGGCATGGTGGCGCACACCTTTATTCCCAGCACTCAGGAGGCAGAGACAGAAGGATCTCTTTGAGTTCAAGGCCCCTGGTCTACTCCTCTTTTTTTTTTTTTTTTTTTTTTTTTTAAAAAAAAAAAAAAAAAAAAAAAAAAAAAAAAAAAAAAAAAAAAAGTAGGGGGGGGTGGCTAGAGATGGCTCAGCAGCTGAAAGTGCTTACTGTTCTTGAAGACCCAAGTTTGGTTCCCAGCACCCACATCAGGAGGCTCAGTTTAACTGAACGTAGCTCAAGCTCCAGGAGACCCAATGCCTCTGGTCTCTGTAGGCATCTGCACACACACATACACACATAATTTTAAAAATAAACTTTTTCTTTTTTGGTCTTTTTGAGACAGGGTCTCCCTGTAGCCCCAGCTGTCCTGGAACTCACTATGTAGACCAGGCTGGCCTTGAACTCACAGAGATCCACCTGCTTCTGCCTCCCAAGTGCTGGGACTACAGGCGTGCACCACCACGCCCAGCCCCAAAATAAAACTCTTTTAAAACAAACACACACATGTACACACAGAATATACTCAGGACTTCAAAATCATCCTTGACTATATAGTAAGAGTGAGGCCAGCCTGGACTATATGAGTCCCTATCTCAAAACACCACCACCAAAAACCAGGTTAGAACAGGGCAGGCAACATAGCTCAGCAAGCAAAGGCACCTACCTGCCCACTAAGCCTGAAGACCTGAGTTCAATCCCCAGGACCCACATGATTAAAAGACAGAATTGGGGTACAGGGAGACCCTGTCTCAAAAAGACCAAAAAAAAAAAAAAAAAAAAAAGACAGAATTGACACCCACAAGTTATCCTCTGACCTTCACATGGGAACTGTGGCATGTGTGCACCTACACACATAATAAGATGTAATAATTTAAAAAGGGCAGAGAATAGTGGCACTCGGGAGGCAGAGGCTGGCAGATCTCTGTAAGTTCAAGGCCAGCCTAGTCAACGTAGTGAATTCCAAGCCAGCAAGGGCTACACAGTGAGTTCCTCTTTCCTTTTGGCCACCACCATGCCATCCAGACTGAGGGAGACCCAGAAATTCCAGGGCCATCAGAGCCACGGCCACAGCCGCACTGGGGAAACAGAGGAAGCACCCAGAAGGCCAAGGGTAATGTTGGTGGCATGCATCACCACTGGATCAATTTCAACAAATATCCAGGATACTTTGGGAAACTTAGTATAAGGCATTACCACTTAAAGAGAAACCAGAGCTTCTGCCTAACTGTCAGCCTTGATAAATTCTGGACACGGGTCAGTGAACAGACACAGGCAAATGCTGCCAAAAACGAGACTGGAGTTGCCCCCATCATTGATGTGGTGCGATCAGGCTATTACCAAGATCTGGGGAAGTCAGGCACGGTGTCACAAGCTTTTAATCCCAGCACTTGGGAGGCAGAGGCAGACAGATCTCTGTGAGTTCAAAGCCAGCCTGGTCTATATAGTGCATTCTGAGCCAGCTGGGGCTGCAGGGAGACTCAAAAAGACCAAAAAAAAAAAAAAAGTTCTGGGGAAGGTAAAGTTCCCTAAGCAGCCCACCATCGTGAAGGCTAAGTTCTTCAGCAGAAGAGCTGAGATGATTAAGGTTTTTGGGGGTGCCTGTGTCCTAGTGGCTTGAAGCCACACAGGGAGGTTCATTAAATGCTAACATTGTTTTCCAAAAAGAAAAAGTGGGGGGGGGAGATGAATGATGGAGGCTGGGAGGGGGCAAGATGGAAAGACACAGAAATGACTTCCAGACCTCTGGGCTCTGCTCATCTTCAGGCCACCACAACTAAGAAATGCCAAGAGAGAAGGATCTTGGTCGCCAGGACTCCCCGAGACCTCTAGGGCACTGTGTGTGTTGCTCTCTGACCCCTGCACTGCTGACTCACTGCTTTCACACTTCCCTTTTCTTGCCAGTGCCTAAGCATCAGGTCTTCCCCTCCCTACCCTGACTGCCAGTAGTGTGGTTAGTGCAGCAGCCAGGACAGGGCTCCCTAGCCCAGGGTTCCCCACTGAATTATGATTCTCCATCCTCAACTTGAGTCTCACTAAGCAGCCCTGGGTGGCCTTGAATTCTCAGGCCTTTGTGTACTCCGACTACAGGCACGCACCACCTAGCCCACGCTTCTCTTCTCTTCTCTCCCTCCCCTCGCCACTCATCTCTCAGCCTTCTCTCTGGGCCCTCCCTTCTTGGGCTCAGGGGCTCCCTCCTCTGCACCTCCACCTCTGCCTTCCTTTTCTCAGCCTTTGCTTCTACCACATGAGGCCTCCCTCCCTCTGGTCCCCAGAAGTGACTCTTCCTCCTCCCCTGGCAGGTACCCCTCTCAGACTCTAGTCAGGTACCCTCCTTCAGACTCTAGTCTCAAGCACTACAGCCGCCCCTCTCTCTCTAGTGGTACCTACCTACCTGAATCACTAGAAAAATCTCCCATTTGTTTAATCTCTAGCTACCTTGTGCCAAAGTATAGCTCTATAACGGACTTAATGTTTTTAGATCAAAGTCACCTCAAATTTTCATGAGACTTTAAAGTTCAATTATCTCTTCCCATTGCCACACAGACTCTCTGTCCACCTCACTGCCCTCCTAGCCTTCTCCAGGACACAAATCAAAAGTATGAGTGTTATGACAACTGAATTTTAAAAAGCAAGCAAAGAAACACAAAAATAGCAGTACAACATGGCCAGGCTTGATGCTGCATGCCTTTAGACGCTGAGGCAGAGGCAGGCAGATCTCTATGAGTTTTAGGTCAGCGTGGGCATGGTCTACAGAGTGAGTTCTAGGATAGCCAGGGCTACATAGCAAGATCCTGTCTCCAAAATAAAGAACATGCCTGGCCAGGGTCACTCCAGGGGTGCTTATAGATTATGCACTAGTGCTGCGATAGGATCCCCTTTCCACGTGGCCCTCTGTAATCACCTGCCTGGACAGTTCTGCTGAGAGTGGCAACAGGAGAAAGAACTGGGGCCAGAGAAGGGCTCTAGCAGCCCTTCCCCTCCTTGGCACCACTGCCCATACACACCCAGGTACTCTGGGCAATGCCTCCCACCTCCCAACACTCACCCTCTCTTGTAGTGGCCCCCGCTCTAGGTGGGCCAGCAGCGGGCAGCAGCCACAGCAGCAGCAGCACATCCCAGCAAGGGCACTGCCCAGTAGCTGGCAGCCCTGGCACTGCCTAGCACTATTGTCCCAGAGGTGGCTGGACTAAACCCGCCCCAGAGCTCAAGCTGTGGAGGATGGAATGACACAGGACCTGTTTACCAGGGGTGCTTCCTCCAGAGATGGAATAAATGGGTTGCTTTAGTTCACCCTTTGGTTCACTCTCTTCCATTTATACACCACCAAGCAAAACAGCCCTTCATCTCCTTGCCCCAATGTGTCCACCAGGAAAGGGCCTATTACATCCAGGGGTGAAGTACACACCTGGAAGCCCAGCTACTTAGAAGCCGAGGCAGAAGATAAAAGCTCAAAGCTAGCCCGGGAAACTTAGCAAGATTCTGTCTCAAAATAAATTTTTTAAAAAATATTTCATTTTATTTGCGAAGTGTGGTGGCACACACACTTCAGAGGCAGAGGCAGGTGGATCTCTTTGAGCTCCAGGCCAGCCTGGTCTACATAGAAAGTTCCAGGCCAGCTGGGGCTACAGGGAGACCCTGTCTCAAAAAGACCAAAAACAAAACAAAACACAAAACAAACAAAAAGTATTTTATTTATTCATTTTCGTTTTATGACTGTATTGTCTGCATGTATGTAAGTGCACCTGTGTCATGCAATGCCTGAAGCGGTCAGAAGAGACCTTCAGATCCCCCTGGAACTGGAGCTACAGTCAGTTGTTAGCTGCCATGTGGGTGCTGGGAATCAAACACCAGGTCCTTGGCAAGACCAGTCAGTGCTCTTAACTGCTGAGCCATCTACCCAGCCCCTCAAAATAAAATTTTTATAAGGGCAGGGGATGCTGCTCAGAGTTCAAGTGTCTACAGCATGAAGCATCGTGCTCAATCCCACTACCACAGGGGGAAAAAAGGCCCATCATTCCCTAGTCCAAACACCCACCCAGGGCTCTTCCCGCTGGGCCCAGTCCTCTGCTGTCCAGCACTGGGTGTCTTCCTGTCTTTCCTTCACAGACCTCCCAGGAAGTCTGACCTGCTCACTGCCATTATCAAGCTAATGCTTGTTGGCTTAAGTAAATAAAAACGTGAATGGAGCTCTGGGTGGTGAACCACTCCTGTAATTCCAGTACCAGTAGCAGTCCTAGTCTGGGAATTCCTTTTACTGCCCATCGCAGGGGCTGCAAGGCCTGGCAGAACTACCCAAGTGAGTTAGTTTCTCTCCCAGGGTGTCAACTCTTGATGCCCTCTGTGTTCACTGCCCTTGCCTCTCTACCACCGAAGTCCACACCAGTCTTTGGAGTCACATGGTATTCACAATCACTTCAGATGGCTGGCAACTGGCAGCAGCCTCCTCCTCAAAATTCTGTGTGAAACCAGAGGGCCCTTAGATGGGTCCATTAGGACTAGTCACCTGTTACTCACTGGTTGTGATGGGGAAGGGATGCTGCTCAGTGTTGTGGTACTAGAGGACTTGGTTTCAACCCTACAAGGCAGAGATATGAGACTGGGAAATAAAGAAAAAGAAGGTTCCTAACCATGAGATCAGGAAGGACTTGGGATGGTCTCTGGCAGGCCCTGCTCCTTTAGGAGTGTCCAGGCAATGGACTGCAGACTGAGAGAAGGTAGCCAAATGGAAACACTGAGGCCAAAGCCAGAAACAACAGAGAAAGACAGCTCTGAACACACAAAGACACTTAGGAAATTCTTGCTTAATGAATAATGGTAAAATACTGGGCAATGGGGGTGGGCAGCAAACTGGTGATATGGAAAAGGGGCACTAAAGCCTAGGGAATAAAATCAGGGTAGAGACCCTGAGACCCAGGCACCCTGGACCCCAGCTGCTCCCCACCCAGCCACACCTGTCAGACCAGGAGAGAGAAGGGAAGAGAGCAGGCGATGCAAACAGACAGGCATTTGTACAAGCGAACAATAGCAGTGCCAGGACACCCTGCCCTCCTGGCACAGGGCAGGCCAGCTGAGTTGGGAGGGGGCAGATGCTGCCTTGCAGCCCCACCCCCACCTCCCCCAAGGAGACACAAACAAACCCAGAAGGGTCCATCCAGTCAGCTCCACTCAGCCATTTCTCTAGCAGCTCCAGAAACCCTGACCAATCGACCCGGCTCCTACATCCTACACACTTCAAACCGGAGACTGAAGCTAAAATGGAACTAGTTCCTCATATTCAGAGAGAATGAGGCCACTGCTCTGGTAACCACTGTTTCAAAGACAACCAAGAGCAGTTAGGGACAGCCACACATACTCAAACACAGGTAACACATGCACATACAGAAAAATCAGACCCGTCCCCCCGATTCAAAGGTCATGGTTCCAGAACCAGTGGGATCTGACCCTTCTTTACCTCCTCTGGTGCCGCTCTGGTTTTTCCTTAGGCACGTTCAACCCTCCTGCCTTGACTCTCTGTGACTTCTCTAAGTCTTTGACTCTTTCCCCATCTTTGCTTCTTTCTTTCCCCTCAGTGCATTCCCTGACCTCCATGATCCTAGAATCTTTTTGGATGACCCTAAAAGCTTCAGCCTCCTAGAGGACTTCCAACTCATTTCTCCCAGACTGGCAGTGCTCTTGCTTCTCTTGCACCTGGCTGCCCTCCTGGCCCAGCCACACAAAGCCAGCCACCACTCTGGTCCTCGGAACAAAGGCCGTTCCCTCTCGCTGCTCCCCATCAGGGACCTAGAAATCCAGCAGTGCGCCAGCCTCTAGAGCCATCTCTGGATTTCATAATCTCTGGTCCTGCTTTGTTCTGTTGGCTATGAACATTAGGGTTCAGGAAAGTAGGGAGGGAAGAATAGGGGTCTGAAGATGGAAAGGGGAGCATTGAGGCTTGAAGAGGTAGGAAGTAGGGCAGAAAGAACCGAGGGGGTGGAGAACTGAAGACAGCCTGGAAGAACAGAAACAGAGTAAAGAGAAAAAGGAAGCTTGGGGGATAGCAGAGAAATGCCATGACAGGAAGGAGAAAGGGGCAGGTTACACTGAAATTCTTTTTTCAGTGAGTAGGTCCTCCAGTAAGGCAAGAAATGGGGGCAGGGCTGCTGAACTGACCCATCCCCCACATAGGTAGCAGGGAAGACCATGTTCCTCAAATAATCTCATTTCCAGCAGCCCCTCTACTTCTCACCACAGTATAAAAAGAAAGGAGACAGCTGGTGTGCTTGGAGGAGGGGGAAGAGGGGATCCAGGGTTTGTTGGCTAAGAACCAACGCCCCCTTCTTGGGTAACCACAGCTTTCCGGAGGTGGACCTTCCCTTCCGACCAGCCCAAACTGACAATCCTCCTGTGGTCTCCTTGCCCTCTCAGAGCCACTTACTCTTTCCTCTCTCCACCCCAGTCGATTCTACAATCCCCCCTCAACAGCCAGCCACAAGGTAGAAGAGTCAGGCATCTGGGCATTCACTCCCGCATTAATGGAAAAAAGAAAAACATTGCTGGGGATCCCGGGTATCTGGATTTCCAGCTCCCCACTGGTGAAGAACCCAGAGAACCTCTTCTTATACCTCCCCAGGTCCGCCCCCCCCCATATCCCCCACGGCTTTCCTTTTTAGGGTGGAGCCAAATTTCCGTGCTTTCAAAGGCCCCCCCCCCCCCCTTGGCTCTATTCCAGGGTCTCAGCTCAAACGGTTGAAAAATAAACAGACTTTGGGAGCTTGGGGCCTGGCCTGTATCGGGTTGTTAAGAGCCTGTCTGCCACCCCGCTGTTCCACCACACTTCAGTCATCTCACCCTGAAGCTACCCAGAGCCCGCTTGCTTTCCTTCCGGTTAGTAGACACCAATCCCAACCCCTAAAGAAAAGCCTTAAATTTTAAATTAAGCTTCCTTCCTTAACAGTCCTTTCACCTGACCGACCCTCACCCAATTTAGCACTAAACTGGCCTGGAACCAGGAGGAAGAGAGAGGGGTTCCATCCCCACAGCAGCTAGGAAGGGAACCATTCCCTAGCTTAAAGATCTGCTAGGCTGCCTGCCAAGGGTCACTGGGCTCCCGGTGGGGCCGCAGATTAAGATTAAAGCTGTTCAAGCCTCTCATTTCTGAGCCTTACAGAGTGGGCGCCCAGGGGATTCGGGACGTGCTGTCCGCACACACCACGTCCCTCCCAGCTTCACTTATTCATCTACAAGTCCTCGGCTTCATCACTTCCTGGAGGGGCTGAGGTGTGGGAAGTCCTGGCATTTGGGAGCAGGCCCCAGTACAAACACTTGGAAGAGTGGTCAAAAGGTCGTGATGCGGTGTGCAAAGAATTACACACCCAGACTTCAGGTGACAGGCGAAGGGCGCCCAACACCGAGTCCATGAACGAACAAGGGCTGAAGGGTCAGGAGAGTGGATCAGCCGAAGTTCTGGGGCTTGGAGAACCAGGTGCCTGGAAGCTGATGGGAACCACTCTGGGTTCCAGGCAAAGCAACGCTGAGGATGGAGGACCGCATCCCAGCCACACAAAGGCGGCTCACTTCACCTGAGAGATGGCCCAGCCAGGCGGGGGAAGAAAGCCTTCGCAGACCCCGACGCCCGCCCACCCCAGGCGAGAACTGAATCACAGCTGGAAAGTCCATTAGCGATGAGAGGAGGAGCTGACTTTTGTCTTGGAGGGGCGGGAGGTTGGGGGGAAAGGAAGCTGCGAAACCACCCCCTCCCGCCCCTCCGCCCAATGGCGGGGACAAAGGGGGAACGACCGAGCCAGAGACTCGGGGGAGGGAGCACCGCCGCGAGCAACCCCGCGGTACCCGGGCGCAGAAAGGTGCCCGGAGTGTCTCCACCAGGACCCCATCCAACGCCTCCTCTTCCCGCTCGGTCCCTTACCGGAGCAACTTTCTTCCAAGCGGCCCAAAACACTCGGTCCCGCTGAATCCCAGGCGACAAAACCCTAGGTCGGCTCTCCCGAGATCCAGCAAAGACCAGCACCGGAGCTGCAGGCGCGGGTCCAGGCGCGGCCCCCTCCCCACGCACTCCCGGCCCCCTCCCCACACGCTCGCGGCCCCACCCACCCCGGCCCACCGACAGGCAGACTCGCGCCCGAAAGCAGGCGCAGCGAAGGGGGCCTGAGGACGCGGGCACTCGGGGCCAGCCCACCTTGATCGCCAGCTCTTTGCTCCTGTCGATCCGCGCGCGCGTGAGGGATTCGATCCGAGACATAATCCAGCGGGAGGACGCGGCGGACCCAGGCGTCCAGCTACTTGGGGCGGGGGGGGGGGTCCGGCCCGCACGCGTTGGTCTCGGGGACAGGAAGTCGGACTCCCCTCGCCCAACACCCAGCGGTTAGTTCCTCAAACCCTAGTCTCCTCCCCCGCCCGGGCTCAGGAAGGGGGGAGGCGGAGCGGAGGGAGGGCGGGTACCCGCGCACCGGACGGGGCTCTGGGGTTGGAGTAGGTGAAGGACAGGGCTCTGCGGGCCCATGTGCCGTTAGCCTGGAGCCTAGGGGCACGCTCTGGACCCGCGACTGGCCTCTTGCTCTGCTTTTCCTGAAATGCACCCAGGGTCTTCTCTGCCCCTGCCGCCTCCGCCTCCCGCCGTGTAACTTCACCCGCAGGCTGGAGGATTCACCATCCCGTCCTCTGAACTCGGAGGACCCCGAAACCGGCCTTATTAAGGACCCATCAAACAGGCCTGGATAGACAGACCTCGTTTACTAATGGGGGCTGATGGCTGGCGTGGCAAGTGGGAGGAGAACAAAAAAATCATAGGGGAACTAAAATTTGCATCTTTAGTAAATTTCACTCCCCACAGTCAAGGTTCTCCCACAAGCTTCCACACTTCTGAGCCTTACTGACCATGCAGTGACTGTCCTCAGGTCCACCTTTGCCAACTTCTTTGGGTGAACGTGAGAATTTCCCCCCTTTCCTGAGGCTAACTGAGGGACCTCCTCCCTAGTGTCTTGATGCTAATTCTCTCTGTTGCAAATTAAACTGAAATCAGAAGACTAAAAAAACCAGTGTGGTCAGGAAGCATTTGAGCTTGCTGGGGAATGTGAGGTACTCTTTCCTCTTTCTGGACCTGAGCTGTGGAGTTTCCTACTACTGGGAAAACGCCTTCCCCAGTCTAGCTATACTCCATTTCCACTTTCAGGGTCTCCCATTGCTTGACAAACCAGAGAACCCTAGGACAGAGCTTTCAGAATCCTGCCAAATCCCCCAATAGGTGTGTGGGAAGGAGGAGGGGATGAGTTCCAACCCCCCGCAAGGGGGGGGCACTAACTTCCGGCCTGCTGGACAGCAGGACCAGGCTGAAAGTTTCCAGCCCATCCCAGCACTCTTGTGGTGCCAATTTTAGCCTCTGTCTCTATTTTGAGCTCCACTGCCTCACCACTGACTGAGCTGGTTGGGCTCCTCACCCCCAAACCACCCTTGCAGCTCCTCTGGTTTACCCCCTGCCTAGCAACTCCTCACTGTCTGCACCCATGCACCCAGTCTCCTCTTAGGGTCTTTATACAGCAAAGGCAAAAAAAAAGAGGAATAAACGTGTCCAGTTTAGGCTGGATGAAGCAGAAAGGACTTTCCCAGGCCAAGGCTGGTTCCCCTAAGGGAACACCCCAGGAGCCCCCTATATCAGCAGCCCTGAGACTCCTGGTTCCAAAACTCCAGCCTTAATCTCCCTTCAACAGCCAGCCAAAGCTGAGAAATGCACATTCTTAAAACAACTAGCTACAAGCCAGAATCCTGGCTGCCTGGCTTTAAAAAGGCCCGAAGACCTCTGCTGTGCTGGGACCTCAGCTTTCTCCCACACCTGCACCACAGGGCGTTGTAAACAGAACTCTACCTGGGTAACCAATAAATGTAGAATTTGAACCCCAGACCTTGAGGGACTGATCAGTACATGAAATCCATGTGGAGGACAATCTGACCCTTCAGCCCTTTGCTATCTTCCCACCAACCTTTAACCTTCTTCCTGTCCTACCTGCTTTTCCCACTCTTAATTCTGTGCCCTCTGAAAACTAGGCCTTTAAAACCACCTGCATTCAGTGAGCTATGCCTTCAGCTTGGCTTGGTTTCATTTTTTTTGTATGTTCTGGAACAACGAACGTTTTCCTTTCTTTACGATGCCCTTCCATTTCCCAAAACCCTTCTTTCCAGCTCCCCTCTCCCCATTCTCCTAGATAGCAACATCATCCAGATTTTCGGAAGATTGTTTTTAGATTTTAAACAACAACAACAACAAAAATCTCTGCTGGAATCTAAAAGTAGCCATTACTTTCTTTAGCCATTTGCCTTGAAAAAAATATATCATTCCCATTGATAACTAGAGCCCATGTACATAGTCTATGAGTCTATCTTTCTTCTGATTACTTTGGGCCTTGGACATGACTTGGGGATGACTAAGGCACATTTGACCCCAGTGGCTACCCAATAGGGGTTGGTGGGGAAGGCTGGGGTGTTGGGTTTACTGAGAGGCAGAGGCCACTTAACAGGAAGACTATACTTCAAGCAAGCTGTGGGATCTTGGGCAAGTAACCCAGTCTCTAGGTTATCTTGTCTGTGAAATGGTGATTAAAGTACTTATCTCTGCCAGAGTCATTCTAAGAATTACAGGATGAGCTCTGGGAAAGCTTTGGCCACTTGTAGGATGCCAGTCAAGTAGGGAGAAGCAGGCCTCTTCCTCCTCTTGTTCCCTGACTGCTCTGCGCAGCACTGGTACCCAAGCTGGGAACAGGGAGGAAAGGATCACATGATACAGGCAAACACATTCATGAGGATGGAAGGAAGGTGGATGGGGTGCGGGGGTGTGTGACAGAAAAACACAGGAAGGCAGGCAGAGACCCTGGTAAGGATAGGCCAACAAGTGGAACAACATCCTGACCTACTCTGGCTCTTTCCTGTTCCCTGCCTGAGCTCCAGAGCCTCTACCCAGGTTCCCCTTCTTCAGGTTACTCAGTCTCCTCTCCAGCTAGGCCAAGGGTAGGCAAATGCAGCCTGACAGCCTGTCAAGAGTCTGTGGCCTTGGGGGATATGGACCCCAAGGGTTCCCTGCTTGCTTTGTTCTCTAGCAATTTGGTTCCTGACCCTGCCTGCCTCCCCCTTGTCCAGTGTTTTTAAGATTGAGATATGCCATAGCGTGTCTCCATCAGCCCCAGCTCCTTGTGGGAGGAAAGGGCTAGCAATTGACCTGCTCACATCTCTGTTTTTTCTGTCTACCTATAGGGAGGGAATCCTGCCTCAGAGTTTGGCTCCCAGGAGAGGCCTGGCCTTGCTCTTGTGGCTGGGACATTAACCATCAGAGGAGAACCCATGTCTGGGACATCAGCCATCAGAGGAGAACCTGTATCTAAATAGGATGGTGTCTCCTCCGGGGTTTTTCTCAGTGCGCAGAGTCTACCCCAGGAAAGCACATGCATACTTGAAGGAAGGAAGGAATGAATGAGGAAAAGGAGGGTGCTTATGTGCCAGACAATAAAGTAGAGCCTATAATCCCAGCACTTGAAAGGCTGAGGCAGGATGATAGAGGACAGTTGGAGCTACATAGTAAGAGCCTGACTCAGGGGCATGTGTGGTACATGCCCAGAATCCCTAGCACTTGGGAAGTAAGAGACAGAGGATCAGGAGTTCGAGGTCATCCTCAACCATAATAAGTTTAAGGCCAACCTGAGCTATATGAAACTCTTGAATAAATAGATAGATAGATGATTGATAGATAGATAGATAGATAGATAGATAGATAGATAGATAGATAGATAGATAGATAAATCTAGGTGTGGTGGCTCCTGCCTATACTACCAGCACCTGTGAGGCTGAAATAGGAAGAGTGCTCCAAATATGAGACCACCCTGGACTGCATAGCGAATTCCAAGGGAGCCTGAGCTGGAGAGTGAAATCTGCTCTCAAAGCAACAACAACAAAAAGCTTAATTTGAAAAGAAAAAAGACTGGAAGATTCAGGCCACAGCCAAGTCACCCTGCTTCACTAGGGCCAAGGGGTAGTGACAAGGAAAAGAGTAGGACACCTTCACTTCCCAGCATGGGAATACTCATGACCACACAGGTACTACATAATCACATACCTTCCTAGCTTCCACTCTGCCTGTGGTCTTAGTTCAACTCTTCCAGCTGCTGTATCCACCCTTAAAATTATAAGTGTAAAAGCACTTTGCAAATTCTAATACTCTATGAATAAGTGAAAGGTATTGCTATAATTATCACATATCCAATGGGCAAGATTTCTGCTGCCCACCTCTTAGCTATGGGAGGCCTAAAGTGAAGGAGCCCTAGGCCATTCATCAGATTTTGTGGCTCCTGGCCCTTTTCCTCTTCCAGCTGTTGACAGCTGTCTACTAAGCTGGAGGCATAGGAGAAAGCAGAGAAAAGGTAATTTGCTGGGATACAACACAGTGCTTTGGAGGCACAGCATGTGTTGTTTTAAAATTAGAGCCCTTGCCCAGAGTCTTACTGGGAGAAATAGGAAAGGGTGGCCTGCTGGAATGGGGAGGACAAGAAGTAGGAAGGGCAGCAGGGCAACACCTCCTGTTTCCCTGACTGATTCCTACCTTGGCCTTGCCGGTCATGCCCAAGAGGAAGCTGAGAGTCCGTCGCAGGGAGGATCCTGCCCAGGTACCTGAGTCCCCTTCCAGCTGACTTCTGCTGCAAAGAGAAAAGGAAGAGGTGAGTAGATGGAGCTGGGAAAGAAGACAGCACCAGAGGGATGGAGGGTGACCATGCCATGGAGGTAAGAGCCTGAAAACAACTCCCACCACTTTACACTTCTGGATTTGGATGTCTGAGTTTTCCAGGCCCCTCTATTTATGAGGAAGCTCCAGACTCCTCCCAGACACAGGCAGTTTTCCCCTTCCTACCTAATCCAACTCCGGATGGGAGGGCTCAGTCCCTCTCAAGCTGCTCCCCGGCGGAAGTGGTGGAGGAAAGGGCCCTCCAGGGGGGCATTTTCCCCTCTCAGAACAAGAGCCCTATGTAGACCCTCTCCTGTTTGGAAAAGGCCTCTGGGCCTAAAGCCAATAAGAAACAAATTTCCTGGGATTTCATCAGCCCATCCCATGAGCTAATCCCAACTGGAGCCAGAAGGATGTGTCAGCTAGAGAATTTCAGGACCACAAATCAGAGCCTGATATCTTAAAGGGCCCGTGTTGTGCTCAGCCACACTGAGAGGGCTGCCCCGATTTCTTAATCAGGCTTCAGCCACAGTAGCCAAATAAACAGGTGCTGATTTTACACTCGTATTTGCATAATAATTACTGAAATGTTCAGCACCCCCCCATTTCTGTACCCCACTTCGGGCCCTGCCCCTTTACAGAGAACAC